CAAACCCCACACATTTGTGATTTCTAAATCATTATTCCCATTTACTAACTCATTATTTATAAAAATTATAAATTATATAAGATAGAGATAGACCAAAAAATGGAGAGAAAGCAAAAAAAATAGAGAGAAAGCAAAAATTGGAGAGAAAGCAAAAATAGAGATAATCCAAAAAATGGAGAGAAACCGAAAAATCGACCAAAAAATGGAGAGAAACCAAAAAATGGAGAGAAACCAAAAAACAGAGAGAAATCAAAAACCAGAGATCCACCAAAACCAGAAATAAATGAATTTCTTGGGGCCCAGCCCAAGTTTAATCCTGGATTTGCTGGGCCAGGGGATGAACCTGGAGGGGCCCTGAGCTCCTCCTGATTTTTTTTTTTTTAAATTTAATTTTATTTTATTTTCCAAGTCCCATATTTGTATTTTGGGGCATTTTGCACTGCATTGCCCTTCCCTTACATAAGTGCCAGCAGTTTCTATAGGAACTCACTTCTTACTCCAGCTGGGAATCACGTGGAAAATTTTATTTTTATTTTTTTTAAATTTTTTTAAAAATTTTATTGATTTTTTTTTTTTTTTTTTTTTTGAGGAGGAATTCTCTTTTCCCACCTCCACTCCCCAGCTGGGTCAGCACACAAATCCCAGGTGCTCCGAGGATTATTTCTATTTCTGGCATCCAATTGTGACTCAGAGCTCTGCTTAAAAAGGATCCTCCTCCAATTAATTCCAAATTAAATCCCTCTTGGGAACCCTGATGATTTTTTTTTTTTTTTAATTTTTCCCCTTTTTTTTTGATGGGGAGGCTCAGGGTGGATGGAGCTGTGGGTGAAGATCCCAGAGGGATAAAGTGAATTTTGGAGCATTTCCACTCCCTTTTTGTGCACAGAAAAGCAGAATAAAAAAAAATTCTGATTTTTTTTTCACCTCAGAAAAACAGAATAAAAGAAATCCTGATTTTTTTCCAGCTCAGGAAAGCAGAATAAAATAAATCCTGATTTTTTTTCCAGCTCAGAAAAGCAGAATAAAAGAAATCCTGATTTTTTTAAGATCAGAAAAGCAGAATAAAAGAAATCCTGATTTTTTTTTTCACATCAGAAAAGCAGAATAAAATAAATCCTGATTTTTTTTTCAGCTCAGGAAAGCAGAATAAAAGAAATCCTGATTTTTTTTTTCAGCTCAGAAAAGCAGAATAAAAGAAATCCTGATTTTTTTCCAGCTCAGGAAAGCAGAATAAAATAAATTCTGATTTTTTTTTCCCAGCTCAGAAAAGCAGAATAAAAGAAATCCTGATTTTTTTTCAGATCAGAAAACCAGAATAAAATAAATCCTGATTTTTTTTCCAGCTCAGAAAAACAGAATAAAATAAATCCTGATTTTTTTTTTCCAGCTCAGAAAAGCAGAATAAAAGAGGCTGCAGGAGGAGGAGGAGGAGTTGAGTCATGCAGGTTTTTCAGGGAATATTTGGTTTGGATTTACAGGAATTAGGCTGGATTTATAAAATAATTCCCAAATTCCATTAGAAATCCACACCACCCAATCCACTCCCTTTCCCATCCCATATTTAACCCCTTCTGGACAGGGATACACCCAATTTTACACATTTTTAAATTTTTTTTTTTGCTTTGGATTTACAGGAATTAGGCTGGATTAAAGCAGCTCCCCCAGAAAATAATTCCCAAATTCCTCCCCACATCACCCAATCCAACCCCAACCTTTTCCCCCCTCCCCATCCCCTATTTCTGGGGG